TGAGCGTAGTTACACCAAGCCCTTCGATTATTATCTATAGCATCTTAGATAATTTTAACCCCAGCTCATTCAACGCATGTGCGCCACTTCTTCGAAATTCCCTTAATGGTTATTTTCATGCCAACATTAATAACTGGTATGTGACATCCATCGGTTATCAGCAAGGCTACAAACATATTTTTCGCCCTTTGGATCTCAGCTTTTCGTGCCCCAACAACTTATGCATCGCTTATCTGACAAAGAATTCTGCGGGCATCGCACTTTAAAAGCGTGTATCTATATCCGATTAACATCACAAAAAAAACTATGAAAAATTTAGCCCTGAGAATTTCGGCAGCACATCGGAGATATTATGTACATACTGGAACATATATAAAATTTGGAAAAAACATGTATCAAATGCCCCCGTGGGATACGTTGTCGCATACACGTATATGTATTAAAGTATATAATGTACATATATTTGTACGTCACATGTACGTTAATATATATATGTATATATATGTGCGTATATATATGTATATGTGTACATATGTATATGCATATGTATACGTATGTGCGACAACGCAATCCATGGGGGCCTTTTATTTACATGTATATATTTATACATACATTTGTGCACATATATATATACATTCACATGTATTTGTATAAATTTGTGTATGTTTATATGTATTTTTGCATATGTTTCTATATATATTTGCGCACATATATATGTGTATTAATATATACATTTGCATGTATACTTATACATATGCACATATCCGACAGCATAAACGGCGAGGATCCTTTCAGAAAAGATGCCAGATTTCTCATTTGTCCAGATTTCTCTCCACATCGTCATTTTACTACGCTTGCATGTTATACGCTTAACTGCCAAAAAGAAAAATACGCAGAAAGCTTCAAAACAAAACATGAAAAAGTGAAAAGTCATATTAACGAATTAGGTGTTACAAAAATTAGAAGCGTACCTTTGGGACAATTTCCTGGATGATGAGCTGCATACGCTCGAACGAAGTCTCGCCATAGGTCTGCGACGAGAATGCCTTGTAGTGATTGTTGAGAAGGTGGACATTATCGACTGCTCGATTATAC